TCCGGGGCAGCTATGGCCTGCTTGATGTTGAAGGGTAAAAAATCAATTTTCGATAGGTGTCTAAACGTCAGCATTGGAAATGTAATGATAGAGCTTTCAGTTCCAGTTTTGTAGCATTGCGAGAAGTACTTGCTGAATTGTTCGCAAATAATATTAGGGTCTTCAAGAATGCCTCCGTTAACTATGAAGAATTTAGTCGTGCCAAGAGAATTTGACTTCACATGAGATTGAAAATGCCGAACTACTGATAATTCTCTGCTTTTACTATGTAGAGCTTTATTTTCTATATTCATAAAATACTTGGGTTTAGATTCATTTAGGTATACTCTGAAGTGCTTACATGTCATTGTGCTCGTAGTAGCGACGTTTTAATTTCCTCAGCTTTTTTAAAAAAGTCTTAAACGTATTCTGGCTCCTATTAGCATTATAAGCCACATGATCAATAACTGAAGCAGTGCAGTCAAAGCAATATATCAGGTTGTGGTATAGATTGAAAAGCACAATGTCAACATTATTTGTGGTAAAATAAGTTTCCCATGGTAAACATTGAATGAGAGTTTCAGTCCGTTTCCATGTTTGTTGATCAAAATATCTGCTCTGGAACATAATTGAAGCTTTAAAGTTCAATTGTATGAGGTTTACAGAATGAATAATACTCAATACTCATAAAAAACTCATGACTGGTATACACTGAGATAGGGTCTGTGTTGGCTGTAAACAGTAAATCAAGTATGTTACTCACCCCAGTCGGTTTTCGGACCTGTTGAACCTATCCACGAGTTTCTGGCGTTTCGACTAGCATGTTATATCGAGCTGGTATCGCAGTCGGATCCCATGTAATGTTTGGCAAATTAAAATCACCTCCGATGATTTTAAAAGTATGTGGTTGGTGCGATGCAATGGAAAAGATGTTTGTTAGTAATCTATCAAACTTAGTATCCGCATGATGTGATCTATATATGCATCCCACGAGTAAGTAATTTTGGGATCCACAGTTCACAGTAACCCAAGTGGAGTCGTCTATAGCATCAAGGGATTTATCCTCAAATTTGCATGCTTGAATGTCTGAACGGACATAGATAATTGTACCGCCTTCTATTCCATAACATCTATCGGTTCTAAAGAAAACGTAGTTATCTACACTCAAGGAATGATCGGATATAGATGAATTACACCACGTTTCCGTAACAAGTACAATGGTTGGATTTACAAGGTATAAAAGAGTTTTAAGATGAATTTTATTGGACAGAGAGCGTGCATTGAACGAAAGAATAAGAAACTCAGAGTTATCATAGTGAAGCAGGTTAGAGTATAAATCGCAATTGGTAGTTCCATGAATACTCGTAGGATTAGCTAAGGTAAAAGCTGTGTTGCGAGGGGAAATGGATTCAACCACTTTGTCATCATGTGAAATATTTCTACCGTTGCCGGCAGGAAAGCCGGCGGAATTACAAAAAAGTCCTCTCATTGCTACTGGATATAACATCTGATAAAGGCATAGTGTACATATTGGGAGCCGGACCAAGAAGGCTATCAGGTGTATGTGTGCGACCAAGAGGCCTATTATAATTCAGATAACTATTTATACCTGACGTATGGGTAACGTGTTTAAGACGTTTATTTCCAAGGTTTGTGGTTGATTTTGGTTCCTTCGTAATTTGGGGACAATCGTGTGCTGTAAATATACTTGCGATGGTTTGCAAGGTTCGAATATATAGATGTTAAGTGTGTGGTCAGTTATATAAATGTTATGGTTATCCGTTGGACAGTTACTGTAACTGGGTGTTGCACTAACAGGGGTTTGGACTGTGATATCCTATTCGTCATCAGCACAACTACTTCGAGTCGAATCTAAGTCTGCATTCTTAAGAGGATGGACACCACCTACATCGGGATTACTTTCTTCTGTGTTTTGAACTTTAGGAGATTCAGAAAAGTTTTTCGGTGGCGGCATACTTGTAAAGCTAGACGTCTTCGTAGAATCGGACTTAATTTTACGACCGTTAGGATTATGATGCGTTTGGGAGTTTGACACTGGTGATCTGTAGCTAACTCTCCCTGCTTTTGGCTGGCATCGTGTTCTATCTAAAAGAATCTTAATATCCTTGAAAATCTGTTTTTGTCTCAATAAATTGGAGGAAGTTAAAAATTCACTGACGTCTACAGATGAGTTGAATTTGAACAAGATAGGTGAGTGCATACCAGGATGACTTCTTTTTAATTGTGTGCATACACATGGTACGTGTGTCATTTTGCTGGCTCTAAGCAGACTAGATTTGATATTTTTAAGGGCATATGTATCCGGTATATTAAACAAAATTGCATTGCTAGATCGTCTTATTCTTTCAAGTACCTCTGATGCAGCACGATCTAGGAAATTACTTATTGCATTCATTTGATCTGGGTTCTCTGTGAGGTTGGGGTTGATGAGATACTTAGGCGGATTGAGAATGGTCACGTCAACTTGTAACTTCTTTATAGCACCCATATGGTTGCGGTTGCGATTACCAACAGAGTCTTCAACATATCTGGAATGGAAACGACAGGTAAAAGCTTGTCTGCTTCCGGATGAACGGAGTAGCTCGTTTTGCTAAGACTGTCGGAAATCGTGTCAGTAATAATGTTAGATTGTGTCGTTTTCCTACGTTTGGCTGGACGCCAAGAAGCAGGGGTCTTCATATCCCCTTGTGGCATGATAAGAAAGCTCATGAATTGAACAGAATGTTGGAAATAGAAATGGGTGAAATAATCAATGTCGAGGTCATATTAAGTAGACTCGATATCAACTACCTCAAGAAATTACTGATACGTTTCTGTATGGCGGAGTGTACAAAAGAATATGGGTGACATTTGACTGTAATCTCCATCAAAATATTCAAACAGCTTTCCCAGTGATTTTAACTTGTCAAAAATGGGTTTTAAGTTCACGCGACCTGACAGAGTATATATGGTACAAAACTTTAACGGCTTCATCCCTTAAATTTTTGTGTTCGTTAGTGATCATGGTCTTTACTGTTTCTTCATTTAAGTATTCCATCATTTTTTGGGGTTCGACTCAGTCGATCTTGAAAAATGCGAATACACAACGTTGATAACGCTACATTCATCCAGGACAGGACACAAGGTATTCAATATATGAGTCCTAATAACACTCATATTCTAATGTGCAAGACCCTTTCCGCAGTTTCTATGACCAGTCTATCTTATAACATATCAACCTGAGTAACTTATTACAGTAATTCCTGTAGTATTCGTAACGACTTGATCTTGCCTGTAAACTGGCCTACCTCGTGTAACATATTGTTATTTCGAAATCAAATATTGTTATTATCATAAACTTCGAAGCGGGCAAAATAAGTCTGAAGTGCGCAAAAAACGATTGAAAACAGGAGCTATATATGCATGGATCAATCTGAACAATCTGAACAGAAAGACGGAATTCAATTAAACATCACTTGGCAGGCCCCTAGTAACAAGCAAAGTGAAGTTTCTCACTCTCCACTTTGTTCATATCTCACACAGATTTCTTTCTATTGAAACCAATTCGCTTATCTTAGTATCAAAACAATGTGTTCCAAACTTTCTCGGTTTACATGTTAATCGGAGTTTCGAAAATACTTCGATTTTGTCATCTTTGTCTGTATTTTTAATGGGCAAAATGATTAACGTGTTCTTGGTAGTAGACAGAGTATTTGTAAATACTAATTGAGAACGATCACTTGGCTTTATTTTTCCACAACTTGGCTAAATTCCGATGGCTATTTGCCTACCATTACCAGATAACAATTGGACTATCCCTGCTAAGTTTTCAGCAAACTGCTCTGTGAAGTCAGACACCATGAATGGACTGAGGGTGGATGTTTATATTATATACATCTCAAACACACCCATCTTCTGCTTGAAAATATCACGCAGGTCAAAATGCAACTGATTATGGATCGGAAAATAGGCCAAAACCACTTTTCTGATATTATCGTTCATACTAGATGCAGGCAATTTCATATCAAGAATGGTAACACAATGTGAGGAGGATTTTATAGGGTTTAGTAAGTGGCAAAATTTGTCAAATGTCTCTTCTGATTTTTTTGAAAAAGCCGGATAATATTGTCATGTAAACTGTAATATATATAAAGGATGGAGATATCTGTAGATACAAACCATAAAACACTGAATCAACCACAATACAGATGTAACTACTTGGTGGTTATAGTCACTCAGGTCCTGGAAACCTATGAGGACCGTATAGCAAAAGTTTTCAAGAGTTTTAGGACATTTCCGGTGGGAGGTAAAACTTTCAACTGCTTTCAGACCAAAATATTTATGGAGGGTGAGTGTTTATAGGAAGTTCAGGTGTGTTATACAACCAACTAGATCATGTTTTATGAAACATTTTGAGCTGCTGAAACTAGTCCGAAGGATCATGATAAAACATTATTGGGTTTCTGTGTGATGCGAAATCAGTTTGGCTGGGTCAACTCCGCTTGTCATAAACGGTGATACAGAGCAACCGGGTTTTTAACATCACATTATCAAATAATGAGCTTTGGCATGACACTCATCTCTCCTGTTCCTCTAATCGCGTGACATTGAGATGTAAAAAAGAATTTCTTGAGTGTCTAGAGCCTCCTACTTATATACCTTTTCGTTCCGGTACCATGTGGTGAAACTCACTGTCTCACCATCTAGCAATGGTGTTTCTTACTGATTATGTAAAGATAAATTCGGTTCGACCTGGACACTAATTACTGGGACTAACACTTACTTTAGGTCTTCTTACGTTATCAAAAGGATAGAAAGTGGAATTGGGACTAAACAATTGCATTTATGGTGGTCTAAGGAGTATATTCCATGTGTATTCCAACAACCACTCGATAAACTACATAGAAAGTTAACAAAAGGATCTATCAGTGTATGAAAATCTCCGTCAATGTATCACATGTCTTTTAGGGAAAAAAATTTAATTCGATTCTTCTTCTCAAAAATTTGGATATTTCAGCCTGGCAGTTTTTCAAACTTCCAAACTTTGCCGGGTAACTTGAGTCGCTTTTCTCATGTTGGTGCACGTTCCAAAGCTTTTTATTTGTAACACTAGCGATACAGTAAGATAGAAACGACAATCTTAAATCATTAATTAATTGATTGGTTGGTTTGGTACTTTTGATTGGGCAGTTGCAGTTAGTTGGAAGCTAATTGGATGATTCAGAGTCTAGTAATTGAGCCGAGAATTTTCTAATCCTCGATTAGTTGGGTATGTATACTCATCTAATTTGTGTATTCACTCTAGCGGCAATTCCAACCGAATGATCGAGTTTCGCACTGCATTATTGTGGTTTTGGTACCGAGTTTCCCTATTTTGGGGTTTCCCCCAAAGTCCGAGAAACTTTCGGTGTTTTTGTGTCATCTACCTAAAGTTTTCTGTTGCAGTTCCACTAAAATTTACCAAAAACGGACAAAATTTCCCCCAAAATAACAAGGTTGGGTAGTGGACTTATCTCACTATAATTTTAGTCCAGTTCATTTACACAACATGACTTGCAGCTTATCTAAAATTTCTCGAAGTTCACACAAGATTTTCTCTTATCCCTAGCGTCTCATTTTTTCGCCTCTACTTCTATTACAAAACAAAAATTTTGACACAGGATACTGTATTTAGATCTGCTTGATATAATACATTTGCTAGGAACGGATTCGTTGTTTGCAAGGAGATTAACAGTCGGTTTACCGTCACACATCATTGTAAATGTAAATTCTGGTTGTCGTTGACGAAGTCATAGTTGACGATAAATGCGTTATTCGCTAAAAATGTGTCCTAATTTCAAACTCCGTATGGACACGCGTACACAAGTTTAATTTGTATCAGCGTAACACACGTGCGGAAGTAGGTACGTAGATAAGTGATGGTTTGTCAGGAATTTCTGGCTACAGTACAAACACTTTCAGGGCACTATAGTGCCTCTCTACTACATCAATGTCAGCCAGTCATCTACAACGTAGGACCAGGCATATATATTCATCAGTTCAAGTTGCCATACCTTATTAGTACAAGATAAACACAAAATTCATAGTAGTTACTTCAATGGTGGTAATATATAGAAGGAGGATTGCATATAAAGATATAGTACAAAAAGAAAAAAAATAGTTGGTAGAAAGAAAGGTATGAAGTAATTTTAATCACACAGTTTAAGGGAAGACAGAGTGTATACACCTGCACCATTGTGATCAATTTCGAGCCATATCACTCAGTCTCCAACCAGTGGTTACGGTAGTTGCGCTGACCCCAACCAGGTAGTCTGCATCCACCAACATGGCTAAGACTAGAATTTTGACTTCAAGGACTGATGCCATGTTTCGGTTTGGCCTCCCCTAACTTTCTTCCAACTGTCTCTAACACTAGTTAACATTATGCATCATGGTAATCGGTTTTCAGGCATATGCAACACGTGACCCAAACATCTCAGTCGACGAAAATTTACAACCTCTTTAACTGATTTACCGTCATTCCATGATGCCTTACGTATAACCTCAGCATTACTTACTCGGTGATCACAGCAAATGCGAGCAATATTTCTAAGACATCTGTGACCAAATAGTAGTAACTTACGAGTATCCTCTACTCTTAATGGCCAAGTTTCGCAGTCGTAAACTAGAACAGAACTAACTGCTGCGAAGTATTCTCGCCCCGACTGTTGCTGCTACTTTGGAGTGGTGGTCGGGCTTGCCTATTGTGATGAACCAATCGAGCTATACTGGCCGGAACAATCGTTCCTCAAGGTCCTATCATACCAGACAAGTCTGTTGAAGAGCGCCAAGGCTAAAAGCAACAAACCCAAGGTCCGAAGGCGAAGTCGTACTGCTGACTGTATAGAGGTGTGACAGCAGTAAGGTGTTTCCTTCAGATAACCGGCATAACAGTGATGCTGCCTTCCTACAAGGAGGAGTGGGGTTAGAAAAGGTCGACTCTAGGGATGCACATCTCAACAAGTGTGGAGCTAACACGAAAATTACTCACAAAATGGTGTGTGACCGACCTCAAGCAGTTGTACCTTGGGCACTGTGATCACGCTCTCAGGTCACTAAGACCACCTCTAATCCAATTTCCTTTTCAGGTACCTCCAGAAGAACCCTTCCACGGTGTGGGGAACCGGGAAGTGATAACCGCCCTCATACCTCTAACAGCATTCAAGATCACAGTATTCATAATCAATCTCCTTTAATTGACAGACAGATATCTCGGCTTCGAAATAGGTAATGTAAGTTGACAAAAACCAAACGAGGTTTTTGAATCCGCGCACAGATTTCATCAGACACCGACCCATTAGGGCTGGTCAGACTTCTAAAATAAGTGAAGTTGTCGACGCGTTCGACTAATTCACTCCCCATTCTTAGTTCTGGTGTGGACTCAAACCAGTCCTGAAGAAACAACTTGCATTTGGAGGGAGAGAAATGCATCTCAAACATCCCGGCATTGTTGCTCAGTGCTACCAAAAGACTCTACATCTTATCACCATCCTCACCAACACAGGGCTATATCATCTGCGTATTCTAAGTCGATAAGTGGATCTCTTGGGAGGAGACCAATGTCCGAGTACTCAGTCGACGAGAACGTTGTCTCCCACAGTATGTCTATGATGAAATTGAACAAAAATGGAGATAGTGGACAGCCTTGACGGACACCACTTGACGTCGCAAAATCATATGACAGTTCGCCATAAGCTATGACTCGACTAGTAGTGTTTGAGTAAAGAGCCTTCTAAAGGTCTACGTATTTATGAGGTACTTCTAAGTACACTTCTGATGACCGTTACATGTCAATACATTCTACATGACTACTGATTTATCTGCTGCTATGCTCTTTCGTTACTGGCCAAATGAGCTGTCACAGATATACCAGACAGAAGAGTTTTTCTCGACAATTCTATTTTCAAAAGCTGAGATTCACATTAGCTCACTGAGGTTAGGTCAGTGGCTTGTGTCAGTTCTTTTACTACTAAGTTTCTGTGAGTATCTAGTCCTCTCTTGAATGAATCAACTGAAGATGCGGAAAATACTCCTAGTAGTGTGTCTCAAGAGTTAATTACTCGGTGACAAAACCCTTATACCAATAGGGATTTTGTTCCTTGTTGGTTTTTAAACTCTTCTGCTATGTCCCAGTTAATCTCACCTAGTTTTAAGCAAAAGAGAGAGTATATTAGGTCCAAAATCATTTCTTAGTTTTCTGAACATAAATATTAGATCACCTCTTAATCAGCTGTAGGACAGAGTAAGAATGCATAACTTCTGAAGCTGCGCTTTGTGTATTTAATTGCACAGATAGTTGTTCTCTGTAATTTTCTCCAAGTTATCAGGGGCTTGCAGTGTGAACGCAGTTTTCAAGTTTTGATCTTACCAATGTTGTGAAGAAGTTCTTCATCATACATAAAATGAATTGGAATCAAGGCTTAGAGTTTGTAATGATGGGCAAAATAGATTATTGACAAATAAATAAATCATGAAGCTGAATAGAATTCATGGGATATATGACAGAATAAGGGTCAAGAATGCAACCATAGTATGAGAGGTTTTCATGTGATTTTAAACTGGTGAGTCATCATAATTCAGTCAGTCAGTCAGTAACAACGTAGAACTTCGTACGTACTTACATCAGTTCGAGTTGATAAGGATCGATAAAAGATGACTCTGCAATAATAACATTGTAATGGTTGTTAGTGAAATATATTCAAATCTTAAAAAAATGGAGATAACACAACGTGTGAATTCAAGATAAAATCAGTAACAAACACAATAAAGTTTTAAACTAATACACAAAGAAAAATACAGACAGAAAAGAACCTGTTCATAACATTCATTTCCCTATATACGTATGATGGTGATTGTACATGCCTTGAGAATAAAACTGTCTAAAAGAAAATTTTCTTTAAATTAAAAGTTACATCAGGTAACATTGAATATTTTGTTCTGCAAACGAATATTATATCAAAAGTACTCGGCCTATGAATGTTTTTGATATGGTTTATAAAGTAAAAGGTATGCTTACTCTGAGAGTAAATGTCTTTAAAAAATTACTTGCATATTTTGGAACGATTGAATGAGCGGTGGTGGGTTACTAAACGTAGGTGGCGAATTGGTTAATGAGGTTGTAAATCATGATTGACTGAAATGTTTGAGACTTGTCTTACTTCATGCCTTCCACATGCAGTGTTGCCTGATGTAGGAGTAAGTTGTAAGTAAACTAGAGGCGGTCAGACTGAAACGTGTGATCAGTCTACGTAGTCATTGACTATCGATCTGAGCCATGTTTATGGATGCAGACTACCTGATTAGCTGAGGTCCGTGTTCGTAATCAACCTTCCTCTTCAATTCCTATTATTCCTCCTACATCGACTTTCAACTTTAAATTTCCTCTCTCGGCTTCCACCTCAAGTGTCACCATAGCCAACGATTCTAGTGCGCAAAATACTGTCCCAGGTCTACTGAAACCTCGCTCCAAACTACACATTGGAGCCTTCAACGTACGAACCCTATGTCAAATTGGTCAGCAGGCTTCTTTGGCTAAAACCCTAGAGTCCCTTACCATTGACGTGTGCTGTGTCTCCGAAACACGCATACAGGATTCCAGTGTGGTCATTCACTTGACCTCACCTCGGCAAAACGGAGAGCCAACGAGGTACACCCTTCGTGTATCTGGTGACCCGATGGCAAGTTCTCGTGGACTGGCAGGTGTAGGCATAGCACTAAGCATGAGGGCCGAACAAGCACTGCTAGAGTGGATCCCCGTCAACAGTCGTCTATGTGCTGTTCGGCTGAACGGCTACGTAAGAACTCGGAAGGATAGGGACACACGTCGTTGCCTTTTTGTCGTTTCTGCCTACGCTCCCACTGACTGCAGCTCAGATGATGTGAAAGATGAATTTTACAGAAAGCTGTCCGAACTTCTTCAGAAAGCTAAACGCTCAGATATAGTACTTGTAGCAGGTGATTTTAATGCTCAGATAGGCAGTTTAAACCAAACAGAAAGGCATTTAGGTGGATATTTTAGTATTCCGACACAGCGAACAGATAATGGTGAGCGTCTGCTGCAGCTATGCTCAGACAATCGTTTATTTTTAGCAAACACAAATTTTAAGCATAAGGAGAGACATCGTCTAACATGGCGACCCCCTACACCAAACCAACGATGGACTCAAATAGACCATATTGCCATCAGTCATCGTTGGAGAGGGTCGGTAGAAGATTGTCGCTCATTCTGGAGTACCTGCTTGGACTCCGACCATGCCCTAATACGGGCACGCATCTGCTTGCGCCTCACTGGACGCAAAAAAGCCACATTAAAAAGACCCGTTAGAACTGATTTGAGTAACGAGAAAACCAAAAGTAGGTTCCAGGAACAACTGAGGTCACACTTAGGTAGTTGTGAAGACGAGGCTGACCCAGATGTTGCTTGGAAAGCCATACAAACAGCCGTGGAAACAGCAGTGACATCTATTAGTGACTTAAACCACAGAGTTGCAAGGAACCAGTGGATTTCTTCAAGGTCTGTCACACTGATGGATTCTCGCAAACTCGTCCCATTAGGTCCTGAACATGATGAAGAGCGAAAACAAATCAGATCTAGGTTAAGAAAAAGTCTAAAGAACGACCGTGAGCAGTGGTGGGTAACGAAAGCAAAAGAGATGGAAAAGGCGGCGACTATAGGGAACACAAGACAGCTTTACAGACTAATAAAAGAAACTGGAATTAGTAAGTCAAGTGTAAGTGAGATTATTTCGGAAAAAGATGATACTCTCATCTGCTCCCAGTCCAGACGTTTAGAACGATGGGCGGAACATTTTAGAGAACAGTTCAGCTGGCCTTCAGCTACTCTACAACTACCCTCCATTCCCAGACAGTGTGAATGGAACATTGAAATAGGTCCCCCTACTCTTGCTGAAGTTCAAAAGGCTATAGTTAATCTGAAACGAGGAAGGGCAGCTGGTCCAGATGGATTGGCTCCAGAGGTCTTTAAGGATGGTGGTCCAATTTTAGCGATTAAGTTGACTAATATTTTAGCTAAGATCTGGGGATTAGACTTTATCCCATCTGACTGGTCGCAATCACTTATCGTCCCAATATATAAGAAAGGGTCGAAATCATCCTGTGACAACCACAGAGGGATTAGTTTAACAAACATAGTATCTAAAATACTGGCCTCGATAATTATCAAACGCCTAACTAAGACTCGTGAACTACAAACTCGAGAGAACCAAGCTGGCTTTAGACCTGGTCGTGGCTGCATCGACCACATATTCACCATTCGTCAGGTTCTAGAACACAGGCATACCTATCGGCGTCCGACGATGGTGGTCTTTCTTGACTTAAAAGCAGCATTTGACTCGGTAGACCGCGAGATTCTGTGGCAGTGTCTGTCATTGAAAGGCGTACCTCAGAAGTACATAAACCTTGTGAAGGCTCTTTACTCGAACACTACTAGTCGAGTCAGGGCTTATGGCGAACTGTCATCTACTTTTGCAACCTCAAGTGGTGTCCGTCAAGGCTGTCCACTTTCTCCATTTTTGTTTAACTTCATCATAGACCTATTGATGGAAATAACATTCTCGTCGACTGAATTCTCGGTTATTGATCTCCTTCCAGGAGGTCCACTTATCGACTTAGAATACGCAGATGACATAGTCCTGTTTGGTGAAGACGCTGACAAAATGCAGAGTCTTCTGGTAGCACTAAGCAACAATGCCAGAATGTTTGGGATGCGCTTCTCTCCCTCTAAATGCAAGTTGTTGCTTCAGGACTGGTCTGCGTCAACACCTGAACTAAGGATGGAGAGTGAAGTAGTCGAACGCGTTGATAACTTCACTTATCTTGGAAGTCTGATCAGCCCTAATGGGTTGGTATCGGACGAAATCTCAGCACGGATTCGAAAAGCTCGTTTGGCTTTTGCCAACTTGCGTCACCTTTGGCGAAGGCGAGATATCCGTCTATCAATAAAAGGACGAGTATACTGCGCGGCAGTTCGTTCTGTTTTAATTTACGGCAGCGAAACATGGCCCTTAAGAGTAGAAGACACCCGTAAGCTACTAGTATTTGACCACAGATGCCTTAGAAATATTGCTGGCATCTGCTGGGATCACCGGGTAAGTAATAGTGAGGTTAGACGCTGGGTATTAGGGAATGATGGTAAATCAGTTGATGAGGTTATGAATCTTCATCGACTGAGATGGTTGGGCCACGTATTACGTATGCCTGAACACCGATTACCACGACGTGCAATGCTAACCGGGGTAGGGGATGGTTGGAAGAAAGTTAGGGGCGGCCAAACCAAAACGTGGCATCAGTCCCTGAAGTCACTAACTTCTAGTCTGAGCCATGTTGGTAGATGCAGACTACTTGGTTGGGGTCCGCGTGACTTTCGTAACCAATGGTTGGAGACTCTTGGGGACATGGCTCAGAATCGATCACAATGGCGTCGGTGTATACACTCCCTGTCTTCCCTTAAACTAAGAGACTAAAATCACTTCATTCTTTCTGTCTACGAACTAATTCTTTCTTCCTATACTATATCCTTATTGCAACCTTTGACCTAACCACTCCTATGAATCCGGTGTTCATCTTGCTGTGCTAATGAGGTATGGCAACCTGGACCGATGCACATATGTGCCTGGTCCTACGTTGTAGCTGACTGACTGACTGACTGAGGTCCGTGTGATAACAACGATCAGTTAATGGAGACATGTGATATGGCTCCTAGTTGGTTACAACGATACAAATACATTTACACTTTATCTTACTCTAGATCTTCAGTTGCAGCATCCCTTCATGTAAACCTCAGTTTGTCTTCTCGAAATATATTTTCAGTGTTTAGTTCTTGTCATTGCCGTTGTCGCTACAATTACTGGGACTCCTTCGCCATTCGTCTGGTTGATTTCTTATTTCATTTTGATGTCGTGTGACAACGCACGTCTTTTCATGACTAAGTTACTCATGACTCACTGACTGGTCCATCCACATAATATCAGATGACGTACTAAAAACTTGTCTACCATCTGATTTAGCTCGATTGATTATGAGGGTTATTAAAACCTTGTCAGAAAAAGTAATACCTTTGACTGAATAGTTCCAAGTTGAGTGCCTAAAAAAATCAAGCTACAGATTTATTCTTTATGCTAAAGAGCAGCTTATTCTACTACTTAACAGTTTTAGTTTGTACATCTTTAGAACTCCGTAGAATGTCATCATAAATTTCATCATTAAGTAACATATATTGTTTACTTGTCATCTGAGCTGTTTATTTTAAGTTAATGGACATTATATTGCTTTCTAGTAAGTGTATTTAAATGCATCCAGTCATGGTTGCAGTGATGTCTATTATTACACCATTGGAATGAAATGAAGTCAGTTGGTTATTATCAAACTTAGTTTTATGATGTAAAACGTGGCATCAGTGTTTGACGTCACTAACTTCTGATCTGAGCCCGGTTGGTAGATGCAGACTACTTGGTTGGGGTCCGCGTGACTACCGTAACCAATGGTTGGAGACTCTTGATGACATGGCTCAGAATCGATCACAATGGTGTCGGTGTATACACTCGTTTTCCTTTAAACTATAAGTTAAAAATCGCTTCATATCTTTCTTTCTATGAACTAATTCTTTCTTCCTGTATTATATCCTTATACCCAATCTTTCTTTTATATATTACTATCACTGAATTACCTACTTCTATGAATCCGGTGTTCATATTTCTGTGCTAATGAGGTATGGCAACTTGGAACGATGCATATCTATACCTGGTCCTACGTTTTAGTTGACTAACTGATTTTTATAATATATTTTCTAAAGTAAATTGATGTTTCATCTTTGAAATTTTATTTTAGAAATTTGCTTATTAGATGGCTACTGTGATTAATATCACAGATAAACATCATCTTGAACAAATTTTACAACAGGCAAATAATGTAACAAATGGTCCAAGCATTGTAGTAATGGATTTTTATGCTTCATGGTGTCGTCCTTGTTCAGATATAGCTCCTGTCTTTCAAGAATTAAGCATCAAGTATAAAAATATGAAATTTGTTAAAATTGATGTTGATAAACTTGAGGTAAGCATTTAATGATACTTTTTAATTTTAATATCAGTCAATCAGTTTGTCATAAACAATATAAAACCTGAAATACAACATGGATTATTTCAAGTTGCTACTACATCACATCAACAAACCGAGATAAAATTATTTCAAGACAAATTTCAAAGTAGTAACAGTATCTATAGTAATGATACAGATTGGGTATCGAAAAAGAAATGTAAGGGAATTTTAGGACTAACAATCTGAGGGGAGAGGAAGTGTGAATTCACCTCCCCCATTCCGAAAGATTCCGAGCCATATCACCCAAAGTCGCTAACCATTGATTACGGTAATTATACGGACACGAGCCAGATAGTCTACATCTACTTATACGGCTCAGTTAAAATGTCAATGACTCCATTAACTGGTGTCATGCCTTGATTTGACCCCCCCCCGTAGATTCCGACCTACTCGTCGAGGTAGGCGGTGACGAAGATTCGATGCCCCATCAATCCATTTGCCATATTTACTAGTATCCTACAATTTTCTTTTCTGAATGACTATTTTACACAACCATAAAGTAGAAATGAGTGAGCTTTTGTACAGTAAACTGATCTTTTGGTCGGTAGACGGATATCTCACCTACTCCCTAGGTGACATAGTAAGATTTCATCAGATATCAACCCACCAAGATTGATTAGATAAGTAAAAATATCGACTCACTCAACTAATTCGCCCCGTATGATGGTTACATTAATCTTTGGGCATATAAACATAAACATTTAGCTTTTTTCAACTTCAATTCAAATAACACTGTAATTGTTAAGTCTTATATTCACTAAATTAATACTACTGGTCAAACTTCAGTCCTCCCATTAACATTATGGCACTTTGATGGGCAATATAGTTTAGAACTCAGGATTTAAACGTTTATTAGTAAATATCCAGTCTTAACATAAAGAACAACCTCACATTTGTGTTTCTACAAGAAGTAGCATTCTGATTAAATTGAATTAGACTCCTCCACGCAAGATATATTATGAGTTTCAAAGATAAGGTGTATATATAGGTTATTAGTATTTGAAAATATTTAGTCAAAATACTACTCGCATGGAATGAAACCACTGACTGACTATTGTTGAGTTTGTGGAACGTTGGTTTGTTAATTAAGGCAATATCGAGGCAACCCGCACGGGATGCACATATGCCAATAGGAGACTGATCAATTGCAGTCCTAAACTTTCAATATGAAGATTTAAACAAACAATACAAAATGAACTTACACTTTATTATTTTTTATTTAAATTATCTAAACACAAACATTAATACAAAGGGGCACCAAAATATGTATATGGCACACAAAATTTGTTTGAGGGCTACAATACTGCCTATGTACCCCACCCGAAACAGGTGGTTTTCTTAGGAGACCACTCCCCGAGCCTTTGACCCAGAAATTTAATCTACGAGGCAATGAAGCAGCGTTAAGAGATGCAATCTCATAATAGCCAGCGGCCAAAGATAGGTTAGTACATCATTTGTTCCCTCAGAATCGTGGAGTCGATATGGGCGATTGGTTTGAAATCAGGGTTTTCCAACTCTCCTAGGTATGTAGACTGTCCGTGCCCTCCATACGGCTTAATCACCGGACATTCGTTTTTCATTCTCTCATATTCGAAGCGGTTTTATCTTATTTTTATTGTATGATTAAGTTATTGTATTTTCGAATTCTCTTGCTTGTAAGCTTTTCCGGGATGCATAAACTGTTGTAGTGTCGTACCTTTCTTAAGTTACTGTCACTTTATTACTGACTCGGTTCTCATCCGTTAATGGTGTAGTAATGTCATGAGTTTAACTTCTTAATTACGTTGATGCACGTTCAGGATTTTGCTCTGTTTTATTTTATGAGTGATTCATAAATTTGAACTGTTTGTTAGAAGTTGTCCGCTTGCTGTACTTCGCTCTGTTTTGACTATCGAGCTAGCGAGCATAGGAGAGCTGAATTCTGTACCAATATTCGGTAAGACTGATTAAGAGTTCTATTCTCGCTCACTTGGTTGACAGAGGTCATCACGTTGAACTGAATAAAGCTTTTAAGGTTATCTACCATATTCCATCAAATTTACCACATGGTTTATCAGTGCGTCTTTTGCACATTGCGGAAGCCATTGCAATCCATGTTCACAAACTTAACCTTTGCATCTAAAAGGAGTTTGTATTCGTTAAATTTTATTCTCGGATGTGATCTCACTACTAGTTATCCGAAGGACTATCGGTACTAAATAGACAGTCTATATAAAATAATCAGTACTCTGAATATACCAATATGACCACTCTCTCGTAATACCGTCCGATCACATATGCCCCAAAGATAACTAACAAGAAATCTGTTTTTTTACCGTATCACCGTATTTAGATAACTTTACCGATCATAGCTTCCTGCTAGGAGTTCAGGCAGTCCATATTCAAAGGTAGTCACTAGTGAGCAGATTACTATTAGTGTTATTACTGATATTTCTTTTCAATCTGCATTTTTATACTTTAGGACGTTGCACAACGTTACAATGTCAGATCATTACCTACGTTTATATTTCTACGTGGAGCTGAACAAATTGATCGGATTACTGGTGGAGTTCCACAAAAGTTACGAGATAAAGTACAAGAACTTGCTCTCTCTGGATCAGACTCTCATGAAAGTGGCTCAAATAAAAGCCCACAGTCTTCTAAACAAGTACGCATCTTTTTACTTCGAATCAATTGTCATACGGGATTGACATTTAACTTTTTTTCTAAATGTTCTGATTTCGTTGTTACTATTTAAACATGACAATTATAACACTGTGGCTCAGTGTAGTGCAACAACTTTTAATCGTCGGGTAACTCATTTCAAAACTGACTCCACATACACTTTAGTCCAGCAAACAAAGTGTGCATTCATACAGTTGAAGGAAATCTGGAGCTCAAAAAAACTATTAGCCAACACTAAAGTCAGAATTTTCAATACAAAATTCAAAATAGTTCTATTGTACAGAGTTGAAACTTTAAGAACTACTGCAACCATGATCAAAAAGGTACAGATATTTATAAACAGTTGTTTACGCAAGATACTCAAGATTCGTTGGTCAGACACCATCAGCATCAACCTACTATGGGACAGAACGAATCAGCTTCCAGTTGAAAAGTAAATTAGGAAAAGAAGCTGGAGGTGGATAAGACACATATTGCGGAGACCGTCAAGCTGCATCATGAGGCAAGCCCTAACTTGGAATCCTCAAGAAGATAAGAAAAGGGAAGACCAAATAACACGTTCCATCGAGAATTGGAGGCAGACATCAAAATAATGAATAACACTTAGCAACGACTGCAAAGAAAAGCCCAGAACAGAGTTGGTTGGAGACTCCTTGTGGGCAGCCTATAATCCATGAGGAGTAACAGGCGTTGAGTACACTACGGTTTAAGGCAGGTTGTAAATGGTATTTTCGACTTCAGTTACAAAATGTATAACTCAGAGTGTAATTCACTTCTACCTTGTACTTGATTACTTAGTAATTCGGTTGGGAAACTACTAAATCAGGTCACAATATATATTTACTTTAGAAGTATCTGATCATAGATTAGTGTAATTTATGATTTATGACAACAGGACAAGCGGATCATTCCTTTTGTAATTGTCGATCATTTTCTTTATATGTAGGCCGGGATGCTATTCGACTGCTCAAATCGGATAAAATGGTTTTCTCAGGTAGCCCCACTTCTCAATCTTTTGATGTAGAGGTCTCATCTACAAAACAGTGAAGCTACGTCAAGAGATGCTATTTCATGGAAGTCAGTTACCAAAATAGGTTGATGTAGTGTGGCAACTTGAATCAATATTCACTTTTTCTAAGGTTCTATTTTGCGTTTGACTAATATAATTTCTAATCATCACGTTTATGTATATCTGATTGTTTCATTTTTTAAATCTCTTCTTTACTAATAGTATGATATGGATATATTATTGTCAAAAAATCAATGTGAATGTTTAAATGAAGATGATACACATTCACTTGCTCAATTATTAAATTCCTCTGAAAATAATAATTCCAAGGCATATTTACTGTCAGATACAGATGAACAGGTTAGTGTGCGTGTTTAATGTATACAAAGTTTTATCTATTTATTTATTTAATCACATAAACATTGGTACAAGAAGGCATCAAATAGATATGCACCACACTCCGTCATTCGATTTGTGTGAGGGCTGGGATACTGCCCAGATGCCCAAACCGAAATAGGTAGTTCTCTTAGGGGGCGACACCCGGAGCCTTTGATCTAAGGGTCTGATCCACAAGACAGTAGAGCATCGTAAGGAGATGCAGTCCCATGGAAGCCGGTGACTAACAATTGGTTCATACGCCATTTGTCCCCGCAGGATCCTGGAGTCCATGTACACCATTGGTTTGGAATGAGGGTTTTCCAACTCCCTTAGATGGATTCTCCATATCCACCAACCCGGTTAAAGCTCCGGACATTCTCTTTTCTTCCTCTCAATTTCGTAAACAACACCTGTGGTGTGAGAAGGCAGTGAGTAGGACTTCCCTGGTAGTGGCTCTGCCCCCAAATGCCCTGGTACGGCCGAGAGTGGGAAGAGTCCGCTCTCCCTCTCGAAATGCCCTCACATGGCCACGTGCATAGAGCCACTGCTAGGGATGTCCCACTCACTGTCTTCTCGAGATGGGAGTGTTGTTTACGAAATTGACAGTACGAAAAGCTAATGTCCGACGCTCTAACCTGGTTGGTGGAAACCAGAGAGTTTACCTTAGGGAATTGGAAAACCCTGATTCCAAACCAATGGTGCACATGGACTCCAGTATCCTGAAGGAACAAATGCTGCATGAATCAAGTTGTTGCTTCAGGACTGGCCTGCGTCAACACCTAAACTAAGGATAGAGAGTGAAGTAGTCGAACGCGTCGACAACTTCACTTATCTTGGAAGTTTGATCAGCCCTAATGGGTTGGTGTCTGATGAAATCTGTGGCGGATTCAGAAAGCTCGTTTGGCTTTTGCCAACTTACATCACCGACTTCGAGGGCGAGATATTCGTCTATCAATTAAGGGGCGAGTATACTGCGCAGCAGTTAGTTCTGTTCTACTTTACGACTGCGAAACTTGGCCATTAAGAGTAGAAGATACTCGTAAGTTACTACTATTTGGTCACAGATGTCTTAGAAATATTGCTTGCATCTGCTGTGATCACCGAGTAAGTAATGCTGAGGTTATAAGTAGGGTATCAGGGAATGATGGTAAATCAGTTGATCAGGTTGTAAATCTTCATCGACTGAGATGTTTGGACCATGTGTTTTGTATGCTTGAACACCGATTACCATGATGCACAATGCTAACTAGTGTTGGAGATGGTTGGAAGAAAGTTAGGGGAGACCAAACCAAAACGCGGCACCGATCGGTGTATACACTCTCTGTACTCCATTAAACTGTGGGATTAAAATCGCTTCATATCTTTCTTTCTACGAACTACTTCTTCCTGTACTATGTCCTTATATATATCTTTCTTTTATATATTACCATCACTGAAATAACTACTTTTATGAATTCGGTGTTTATCTTTTTATGCTAATGAGGTATGGTAACCTGGACCGATGCACATATGTGCCTGGTTCTACGTTGTACCTGACTGACTGACTGATACCGGCTACCATGGGATTACATCTCCTTACGTTGATCTACTGACTTGTGGATTAGACTTTTAGATCAAAGTCTCCAGATGTGGTCCCCTAAGAAAACCACCTGTTTCGTTTTGGGCACCCGGGCAGTATCCCAGCCCTCACACAAATCGAATGACGGAGTGTGGTGCATATCTATTTAGTGCCTCCCTGTACCAATGTTTATGTGTTTAAATAAATAAAATATCTACGTACAATACTTGATGTTGAGTAATCGAATGCAATTGACAGGAAACCTTGGTTGATATAGACTTAGTATCATTTTGTATTTGTCAACAAGATGTACCAAAAATCTTTAGAGGAACTGATTTAGCACCATTATTTATTTATTTATTTATTTATTTATTTGAACACATAAATATTGGTACAAGAGGGCACCAAACATACATGCGCCACACACAACAATGAGAATTCGAAGAAAAAAAGGACAACAACGAACGGATTAGTGTAACGTAGTGTAATAATAATAATAGTAATAATGGGGGAAACGAAAAGGTACAATCAGAAGAAATCTTTCAGTTAAGGAAGAAACAACCATTTTTTTAATGAAGAAAGTAAAAGAAGGTTACAGCAGGATCATCATTGACTTCTATTCTGAGCCATATTTGATAACGTCTCTAGCCGCTATGTTGCACCATCTCTAGGACTCCAGCCAAGGAGTCGTGAAGGACCAACACAAGCCAGCCCTCCGCAGCTTTGTTTCATACCACGACAGCATGTCATACACTGACCACCTCTCCGCTTTTTCCAACCAGTCCCAGCGTCGGCAAATAATGCACGACGTGGAATTCTCTGGGACGACATTCGTAGAACATGTCCAAGTCACCGAAGTCAGTGTTTAGCACCATAGAACTAGAACTTAACATAATCCAACTTCACAGTCTACAACTTTATCCCTAAACTCTTCAGTTGGCAATTAATTTACTTTAGAACTGAAATCTTATGTGTAGTAACTAATATATCATGTATACCGATGGATTTTATATTGAAGTTAATCGACTTGTGTCAATATTATTGTCATATTGATGTCTTATATGAATAATTCCTTCTATTTTTTCTTTCTTAAAGCTTATTATATACATTACCTTCTCACAATTTGTTCGTATTCAATCTGTACAGATTAATGGACCTAAAGGTACATTTGATTTTTGTCATCATTATCATTATTATTAGTCATTAGATATATGTAATTATCCATTTTTTTAGATGTGTTCAATTGTTATTAATATGATTCTTAGCTCTGCTATAGAAGTAAACGGGTGATTGTCACTTCTTGGTTATTCAACCTGTAGGAGGATACTTCTTCTTAAGGAGAGAAACTTGGATTAGAAGTGATTTTGTTGATACAGGAGTTTTGATTGTAAAGTTCAAGGGGGAAACTGTTTGAAGTCGATGAAACATGAGTTTTGTTAATTAGCTTTGTGTTTAAAATGCCTTACGACGAGAGATGAAAATTCATGGAATCAAGTGAGATGTGCTATATTTAGCGTTAATCTTTTCATTTCTATGTAGGAAAACAAATTCTGATTACGTAAGGGTAACATTATTTCCGTGAAAGCCGAAGATAGTTGGTCATGAGTTAGCGTACTTTTGTCACAAGAGGTTATGAAAGAGGGGAACACTGAATAAATCTACACACATGATATGATAACATGAAATAATATACTGTACAATCTATCCATAGTCTTTGGCGATTAATTTTGAATAAAAGAAGGTGTATCGTGATCAGTTGAAATTTTCAGGTCGGTCAGACCATGCAGAAATATTTCTTCATGAGAGAGAGAGAGATATGAACAACAAATTGAGAATTTTTTCAATCTTTTATATTTAAACCTACTACCTAATAATAGGCTTGTTTTACCAAACGTTTTTTTGAACTTCTTGCATAATATTACCTGGAGTGAAAATCTATGAGGCAAGGGGGTTGTGTATGTGTGTTGTTTTTCTGGCTGATCTTATGATTATTTGCGGTAAAAATCTTCCTACCTTTCTGAGTAGTGTCATTCAATCAGAAAAAATGATCTCTGAACTGTGCAAATATCTTCAGATTATATTCTTAGTGATGAATTATCTCTAATTGATCAAAGAAACGAGGGTACCACTAAACAAACAATGTGTTTAATGCCATTGTTTTCATTCTTTTCAGACGATTTCTCTTATGGGAGTTTGTATGTGTATGTGTGTGTGTGTGCAATTAGTACGTCACTCTAAGAGTTGAAACTGATTTTGTAAATGTCTACACGCTATAATTTTAGTCCATAGGATTAACTTTAATAATATTGAAACCACAAACTGTTCTTAGCTAAGACCACCATTGTAAATCAAAAGACACTTGTTGTGCAATATCGTGGATTGATTTTAGTTAGACATGTACATCACCGGAGGTTAACTCAGTGATCTAGATATTAAGCACCCACCACGAGACCTCAAGGTCCTGTGTTCGATGTCTGTTCACTGTTGAGGAGTCCCATGCTGGGATGAAATGGCTGTCAAGTGCTTCCTAGTTTTCAATATTGGTTTAGCTAAGATCTGTTCGTAGTCTGCTCTATGAAAGTTCTACTTTCTCCATCAACCGCCATTGGTAATATTAAAATCACTCAGAAATATTTCAATATTATCTAAATAGAAATGGAAGGTTAGGACAGAATTTGACCTAGCTTTCAACACTATCCTCTTGTAAACTAAAAACATGAAATAAGAAAAGAGTTTTTACATCATATAAACTCATGTTGTCTTTATAATTCCTACACTTATCAAATCTGACTTATTACACATCTGTCTGTTTGTTATCTTTTGTCAATTCATTGACTCGACAACGAACAATTGCACCGTACATCATAAGAACTTTGATTCAGTTCACGCGTGAAACTGAAGGTCTTGAATTCGATCCCCTGTTGTGGGGGGGATAGTCTCATACTAGGATGAAACAGCTATCCTAGAGCTTCCAGACTTTTTAGTGGTTGTCTAACTGAATTCATTTCGTGATTTCAGTTAAATACTAAATTAACATTTTCATTCTATATTGTACTTGAAGTAGTTTGTCATATTTTTTTCTTCTAGAGAACGCACCAAAAACAGTAAAACTATTTATTAATCAAACATCAACACCTGATTTTGATAGTTGTGAAATTGGTGAAGCTGTACAAACATTAGAGTAAGTTCTTGTTTGTTTATAATCTGCATTTATTTTTTCGAAAGTATGTGGTCTTCAGAGTTCAACACTAATGAAAGTAGATCATTCGATTCATGTTATGTTTACTAGTGGAGATTGAGTTTCTTCTTCGATAGGGCTGATTATCAACCTATTCGAGTAATGAGTTCCAATTGTTGATTAGTCATTGAGAACAATGGAATTCCATTCTGAGTTTGTTTAATCATGGTTGTTGGATATGTTTCTTTTGTGATGACCTTTCGAAATGATTAGTCCTAAAGGGAGGAAAACAATAAGATATGCTAGTAGTAGTACCCTCAAAATACTTCAGATCCGTTGGCCGAACACTATTAGCAACAACGTACTGTGGGAGAGAACAAACCACATCCCAGCGGAGGAAGAAATCAGGAAGGAGCGCTGGAAGTGGATAGGATACACATTGAGGAAAGCACCCAACTGCGTCACAAGACAAGCCCTCACATGGAATCCTCAAGGCCAAGGGAAAAGAGGAAGACCAAAGAACACATTACGCCGAGAAATGGAAATAGACATGAGAAAAATGAACAAGAATTGGATGGAACCAGAAAGGAAGGCTTAGGACAAAGTGGGTTGCAGAATGCTGGTCGGCGGTCTATGCTCCATTGGGAGTAACAGGCGTTAGTAAGTAAGTAGTAGTACCCTAGCTTTATTCAAGATATACAGGATCCTTATGTGAAATCCTCTCATATTGTACAACAAAATAGGGAAAATAAATCTGATCGTTTCAGTTGTTCCTCGTACGGCAGTTTTGAAAATCCTCTTACCAAATTAGTGGCTACTCTTCAGACACACTCGTGAAGTGTTTTCTTATAGAAAACTATTTGATATATAGTTAGTATATAATCTCTGCAATTAGTTGTTAATTATGGACACATAACATTATATCCTTCGACGCTGAACACTTTGAGTTACTCTGAGTTTGGGAATGACTACTTTTTTTTAGTTTAGTCACTCATCAATGAAAGTTATGGTTTCCATAAAATTGCATAATCTAGTCAGTAAATGTAACACAATGTACTTGAACATTGTCGACAATTTATGCTGGTTTGTAATTCAATCAATAACTATATTATGTCATCCATAATATAGTTAGTAGATGCAAACTACTTGGTTGGGGTCCGCGTGACTGTCTTAACGAATGGTTGGAGACTCTCGGTGACATGGCTCAGAATCGATCACAATCGCGTAGGTGTATATACTCTCTGTCTTCCCTTAAACCATGCAATTAAAATCGCTTCATATCTTTCTTTCTACGAACTAATTCTTTCTTCCTGTATTATATCCTTATACCCAATCTTCTTTTATATATTACAACCACTGAACTAACTAATTCTATGAATCCGGTGTTCATGTTGTTGTGTTGATGAGGTATGGCAACTTCGACCGATGCATATATGTGCCTGGTCCTACTTTGTAACCGACTGACCGATTATGTCATCCTACCTACTCAATAAACTTAAACTGATCTACCTTTAAATTTTGTAAGACCTTTGCTTGTGTAATTTATCAAATAGACTCATATTTATTATAAAATACAGGCTAGTCCTAACCATTGAGATTAGATGGTGGTTGGAGGTAGTCGACAGGAAACCCTGGACCCGGGTTTCGTGCTACTTCGCAATCGTCAGCAAGGTGTACCTGTAATTTTGAGGGAACTGGTGCTCCCTAGCGGATTCGATCTCGTGTCACCCAGCTTCACAGTCAGAGACGTTACCACTGAGCTATTCAACCACCATCTAATCTCAATATATAGTGCCCGCAGTGTCGAGTAACCTAGACTGGTGGCCACATTGTAACATGATCGATAGCATTCGATCTGCACTAACAAGGACTAGACACACATGAAATTGATCGCCATCCAGTGATCAATCAATTGTGATTAGTCCTAACCATTGTCTAATTAATTCTGATTTTATTTAATTTAATTCACATAAAACCTGATACAATTTGGGCATCAACATTCATATTGTCGATGTAAAATAAAGAGATAATTTTGTAAAGAAAAGAAAATTAACAAAAGAGGGGTGGGGAGTATGTTATATCTTGAAAAGCTGATTTTCTCGATATACCGCGTATAACAGAGCACTAGAACACCAAAACCCTTCCAAGTCGTTATAAGAAGACAGAAGACTAACGAAAGGAATATTATTCCAAACAGTGTCAATCATAGTACAAAATTGTCAGGTATTTATAGTTTTTAGTGAGAACGAAATCATCATTACAGTCTTCCAATCCGCATACAGGGGGTTATTAGCATTATCCAATCGGGAAGCTACACGTTGGAAATTCTAGAACATTCTTCCGAAAGGTGATTGGGTGGGACGTCTTCGGCTCCTTCTGAGCCTCTTACAGCTTCCTTGAGTTCACCGGTGGTCCGCCGTCACGGAGTACAATAAAAAATGTGAACAAGAATAGTGTATAACAGGCTATACAATTTAATGTTTTTTCAGTTAAGAGATATCCCTCTCACACTTTTATGAAAAAACTTAGATAACAACTACAAAAGAAAAAAACATTGTCAATGGCTTCTATTTTATATTGTGTCTTGTAAAATTTCAAGTCATTATATTGAACAATTTCTAGAACCTCCTCATCTGTTGAGTTGTAATGGACTAACTAATGCATATCTATACAGCTTTCTTTTCATATTACCCCACTATATCAGTAATTAACTGACCATCTATCTACTATTCACATTCAATTCTCAGCACTGATAATTCATGCCATGATGCAACAAAGTTCACTGGGATAACATTCTTAAAACACTTCCAAGTGATAATACCTATCAATTAATTGAGAAAATAAAACATGCATAATACATGGACATGAAAGTTAACTAATAGTATAAAAAAAACAAGATTCTGTGTAAGGAAATACAAAAAATGAATAAAGATTATGATGTAATCGAAAAATCATAATAATCTGTATCCTAATGTAAATAATATATGTTATGTCCGAGGGATTACGGTATCACCGAGGACCAGTGAACTAAATGAAAGTCGACAACAGGACAAGCTAACTATCCCACTGCGCCCCAACCCTTTTAACTAGAGGGAGAGGATCAAATTCAGCCTGGAAATATATATATATATATATATATATATATATATATATATATATATATATTCCGCAAGTAGTCAGAAGCGCGAACGAAATAAGCACACAACTCATGAGCATGTATGTGACACAAAAATGTCTTCGGGGAACGTCACAAAATAGTGTACTAATGGTGCACATGGGCTCCAGTATCTTGAAGGAACAAGTGGCGTATGAACCAATCATTGGTCACCGGCTACCATGGGACTGCATCTCCTCACGATGCTCCACTGCCTTGTGGGTCAAAGCTTGAGGTCAAAGGCTCGGGGTGTAGCCCCCTAAGAAAACCACCTACTTCGGTCTTGGCAGCCGGGCAGTATCATAGCCCACACAAACACAAATATGGTGTGGCGCATATATATTTGGTGCTCTCTTGTACCAATATTTATGTGTTCAAATAAATAAATAAAGAAAGAAAGAACAAATAACACTTGAGATCCTTCCAATTAAAAAATATAGACAGGAGGTAAAAATTACGCTCTTTGGGTGCGAAGATGAGAGATTCGAATTCTCATAATCAAATTACAAAAATGAGACTTTTATCAAGTGGTTTCTCGAGATCTATCATCCCCAACATAACAACTATGACAGACGATTTAACTTCTACAGGATATTTACAGCTTCATAATAAATTCTCAGTGAAGGCTTGTGGAGATCGTTAACTTTCATAGTAATCATGAATCGATCTAAGTTTAATCATCATTGAAAACGTGGAACCACTGGACAGTTCTATTATAAAACTCCTCAACAGTGCGTATCCACAAGTTCTCAAGGGTAAATCGAATAAGTGTTAATACTCTATACACCCAATGAGATGTAAAAACAAGAGATAAGTTCAACCATGAGTCAGTCCGCTTCTTGGTGAATTCATTTTTGATGCAGTACAATTGAAAATGCACACCTAGTGTTTAATATGATCACCAACAATTTGTTTATCCCAACGTGAACATCCAGCTGACGAGCCCTGAATAAGACGAAACGCACGTCCTGGATCCCACTGCTAACCAACCATCCATCTTTGCTTATAATAACAAAAATTTGTATATAGTTTTATTCCTAACGTATAAACTCCATCTTTATCATTTGCATCACTTATTTTGACTCATTTGACATTCATCGAGTACATTCTGGCTCTATCCCCTAGCGTGAGTGTATGTGTGTGAACTGACGTGAAATCTAACAATTGGAACTGATGTTGATTTGTTCCAGGACTTAGTTTGTTTATCACTATAAACATTTGTTGATTCTATCAAAACGTCTACGTCATCCAATTGAGATACGCGCAAAATCGAAGTTTGCAAAACAATGATGATTTGTCTGAAACAGCAGTTCTTTATTGAATAATATACAAACATTAGTTACAAACCTCAATTTTTGAGGTATCTACGCCGTTCACTCCGTCTCTTTGTCTGAAATAAATAAGGGTATCCTGTAACAATAATATAAAGAATAATTACAACATATAATAGTCCAAAAGACAACTGTTTCTCTAAACTTGCTAACAGTGTAGTGAACAGAACACGGGTGGGGACAATCGAATGTATTTAACACAACACTACAGGACTTGTTAATAAAACTTAACAATCATAAAGTAAATGCTTAATTTGCTAAATGTTCATCGATTGTCCTAAAATGACTCAGACTTCATTATTCTTGCATTTTCATACAAATTGCATTTTGTTTCCATTCTTTACTGTTTGATCTTCTTGTCTCTACTGCCAGACCTTCTGTTCACCACTAACATCATATACTACTCATGTCAATATAAGTAGCACACACCACAACAGTTTATCAACAAGCAAACTTCGAAACTAAAGAGCAAACAGTATAGAAACCATTGCATTTAAACAAAGGTTAAACGACCGCAAAAAAATCGCGAATCACTGCTACAATGATTGAGATAAAGTAATTATTTATGATAAATACAATTAATGTTATAAGTATATGTAAATATTTCAAGATTATTACACGACAAAGCTGCGTTGCGTTACAACATAAACGCAGAAATTACTAGGAATACAACTATTTACTGATTATTAATAAGTAGTATAAAATAATACGCAAAAGAGTCGAAGGGAAGTAAATCAGAACAGAGAATATAAAACAAACATTGTTGAAATGAACTAATGTTTGAACTGTACAGTATATTACCGTTGTGTATTAGTAAATAGGCGAAATTAACTTGACGATATTTTTGTAACCTTTAATACTCGAATTGTGTAAACCCTTGTATGATTGTTTCACTTAGTTATGATTCCATATTACTCGTTTCATTATATAAAATATGAAATAGTGTAACTCACTTTTGAAACATACAATTACATATTGTCTCTTTTTCGAAGAATTTTCGTTCATCTTGTTTCTTTTATTTACTCTATTGTGCACATTGGAATTAAGGTTGAGTTATTCATGAATTATTAACTTATTTATTTAAACACATAAACATTGGTACAAGGAAGCACCAAATAGATATGCACCACACTTCGTCATTCGATTTGTGTGAGGGCTAGGATACTGTCTAGATGCCCAAACCGAAGTAGGTGGATTTCTTATGGGACGACACTCGGAGCTTTCGAAGTAAAGGTCTAAGCAACGTAAGGAGATGCAGTCCCAATAATTAGTTCATACGCCATTTGTCCCCGCAGGATCCTGGAGTCCATATACATCATTGGTTTGGTATGAAGGTTTTCCAACTCCCCTAGATGGATCCTCCATATCCACCAATCTGGTTAAAACGCCGGACATTCTCTTTTCTTCCCCTCAATTTCGTAAACAACACCTGTGGTGTGAGAAGGCAGTGAGTAGGACTTCCATGGCAGTGGTTGTACGCACCCGGACATGTTTGAGGGTTTTGTGAGGGTGAACGGACTCTTCTCACTCACGGCAGTAACAGGGCATTTGGGTGTGTTAATCATCATGAAAATGTGTCAAATGTTTTCGACTCACCAATTGTCTTCAAAATAAAAAGCATCTTTTCATTTATGTAACCAAAACACTTGTCTCCTACACATAACAATTCAGTGTTTCTTTTTATACTTGATCTAAACGGCAAATACTGGATTATGTCGTCAGAATTGTCTCATGAATTAACCGACTCCTACTTAGTGATATTGAAGGTACGGCATTTACTCACTTTGAATTGACCTGAATTTGTAGTTTGATGAAGTTTCGGTTGTTCATTTGTTAAAGAAAGTTCGAGTTATTTAGTTGTCTTTTTTATTACTATCAATGTCAGTAGCTTCTTTAACGCATATTCTTGTTTTACTAATTCCTATTTCCTTAATGGGTTTTTCGATTGTCTGATTGATTATTATCACTTTTGGTTTGTTAATTTCATTATTCTAAGTTCATTTCACTTTTCGAATTCTCTTCAGAATGCAGTAGTATTTTCTTCTTTATTTCATATTAACCTATAAATGATTAACGTTAAAGTATTATTGTTTGTTAGAGGTTCGGCCTATTTGAGTTCCCAATATTTGTATTCACATTAGATTTCTTAATCGTTCTTACGTGGAATTTATTGTAGTCCGATTAGAAACTCAAATGCCCTGGTACGGCCGAGAATGGGAAGAGTTCGCTCTCCTTCTCAAAATGCTCTTAAGTGGCCACGTGCACAAAACCACTGTCATGGAAGTCCTACTCACTGCCTTCTCACACCACAGGTGTTGTTTACGAAATTGCGAGGAAGAAAAGCGAATGTCCGGAGCTTTAACCGGGTTAGTGGATATGGAGGATCCATCTAGGGGAGTTGGAAGACCCTCATACCAAACCAATGGTGTACATGGACCCCAGGATCCTGAGGAACAAATGGCGTATGAACCAATTGTTGGTGACCGGCTATCATGGAACTGCATCTCCTTACGTTGCTCTACTGCTTTGTGGATTAGACCTTTAGGTCAAAGGTCTCGGGTGTCATCCCCTAAGAAAACCACCTGCTTCGGTTTGGGTACCCGGGCAGAGTATCCCAGCCTCCACACAGATCGAATGACGGAGTGTGGTGCATGTCTGTTTGGTGCCTCCTTGTACGAATGTTTATGTATTTAAATAAATAAATAAATAGGCAACCCGAATACGCAACCGTTTTTTTTATTAACCAACGTCTAATAGCATTGTATTGATTCTATTTACAGTGTAATGTAATTTTCACTTTTAATCGTTGGCAAATATGAACTATATTTCCCCCCCCGCAACTATTTCTATTCTAAACACCAAAACTAATTTTTTTCTTCTTCCTTGTCACATATTTATTCTCTCTTCTTTGTTTACTTTAAGATTAACAGAAGAGGATATTAAACATGGTGGAATAACACAATTGAATTTTGTAAAATTTCAGAATGTTAGTACACTTACAGTAAGTGATCAATCTATATTATTATTACTTATTATTATTGTTTATTAAGTGTGTGTGTGTGTGTGTGTGTGTGAAATCCTCTTGTTGTCTCAATAAGCAAACTGTAAAAAATCGGACTTAGTTATTTAAACTTATAAACATTGGTATTAAAGGGCATCAAATTTTGTATGTGAAGGGCTGCAATACTGACCGGTTGCTCAAACGAAAACAGGTGGTTTTCTTTGGAGATCACTCCTTGAGCATTTTACTCAGAAATTTAATCTATGAGACAGTGAAACAACGTTAAGAGATGAAATCTCATGGTAGCCAGCGGCCAAAAATAGGTTGATACGTCATTTGTTCTCTCAGAATCGTGGAGTCGATTGGTTTGGAATCATGGTTTTCCAACTCTCCTAGTTTTGTAGAATGTCCGTGTCCTCCATACGGTTTAATCACCGGACATTCATTTTTCATCCTCAATTTTGTAAAGAATTTCCTGTATACTAGAAAGCTCCAAGTAGAAGTCACTGGTCAGTGGCTATTTACGCATAGTCATGTGAGAGCAGTTCAAGAGGGAGTGAACTTTTTCGATTTTTAGACATAGCACGGCATTCGAAGACTATTCAACGATGAATTGTTGAGGATCTATTTTACACTCAAGATAAATTAAAATGAACCTCTGAATATACTGATTTTTATGCAACTTATTTACAGTCAGTCTTCATTGAAAGTCAGAATTGTATGATATAAATTAGATAGTATTTAACATAAGTTAATTGATAACTTATCATTATCATACAATCTAATATAATGACTCCTTTTTAAAATGTGATTATGTCATGTCAAAGATGTTTGGTTAAAGAAATCAACTTTATATGTCATTCACTCTTCAATCACGACGTGCAATGCTAACCGGTATTCGAGATGGTTGGAAGAAAGTTAGGAGCGGCCAAACCAAAACGTGGCATCAGTGCCTGAAGTCACTAACTTCTAGTCCGAGCCATGTTGGTAGATGCAGACTACTTGGTTGGGGTCCGCGTGACTATCGAAACCAATGGTTGGAGACTCTTGGTGACATGGCTCAGAATCGATCACAATGGCGTCGGTGTATACACTCCCTGTCTTCCCTTAAACTAAGAGATTAAAATCGCTTCATATCTTTCTTTCTACCAACTAATTCTTTCTTCCTGTACTATATCCCTATATGCAATCTTTCTCATATATTACTACCTTTGACCTAACCACTGCTATGAATCCGGTGTTCATGTTGTTGTGCTGATGCGGTATGGCAACCTGGACCGATGCATATATGTGCCTGGTCCTACGTTGTAGCTGACTGACTGATTTCAATCAATAAAATCTTTGTTCACATTAACTGCCTCATTTTAGTATAAGACCCCTTCATCGATACACATCTACAACTATGTTTTGTGATCCTCAACCCCTATGACCTTCAGGTATCATTTAGTCAACTAAATTGAAATTCCATTTCTAGATTAAATCAATTTGTCATCAATAATACACAATGATCATCAAATGCCATGAATTACACACTGACTCACTAACTCCTATTCGATTTCCATTCTCTCTCTCCTCCTCTCCTTCTCTACAACGTTAAAACTTTTCAGTCATAGAACTTGTGAAAAAGTTCGAAGTAAAATCAGTAATGAATACAACTTATATATTAAATGGATCTCCATCATAACTTCTATTTCATTTAAGATATATATATACTACTTACATATTCAGAACAAAGTGTATCAATTATATAATGTTCAATGAATTCCATATATAAAGTTTAATGAATATGATGAGAAAAGAGAGTACAATTTTCGGTGAGACTATAGATTGATGGACGATCTTTGAGCAACTCCAAATTGACCTTGAGAATATCCACTTACTAAGTCGGACTAAATGAGGGTTATAAAATAGTGTCAGTCAGTTATTTACAGCGCAGGATCAGGCATATATGTGCATGGGTTCAAGTTGCCACACCTCATTAACACAAAAATCATAGAAGTAGTCACTTCAATGGTGGTAATATATATAAGGATATAGTACAGGAAGAAAGAATTAGTTGGTTCAAACAAAGAAATACACCAGTTTTAATCTTACGGTTTAAAGGAAGACAAAGAGTGTATACACCTACATCATTGTGATCGATTCTCACCCATGTCACTCAAAGTCTCCAACCACTGGTAACGATAATCACACTGACTCCAAACAAGTAGTCTGCACTTACCAACATGGCTCAGACCAAAAGTTAGTGATATCAAGCATTGATGCCACGTTTTGGTTTGACCATCCCTAACTTTCTTTCAACCATCCTCCAACACTAGTTAACATTGCGCATCATGGTAATCGGTGTTCAGTTTATAGTTGATGATTAGGCTTAGTAATTAGACTTAAGGTTTTCATCACAAACTGACATCGGTCAAAATGCTAAAAATCTATTTGGCCAAATGAATCAATCAATCATCAAGCCAAAATTCAAGATGTTTTATCTATCTTATATCTGATTGGTTCGTGCATTAATTATAATCTTGCCCAATTTCCTTTTTTTTGTACAATCCTTACTCTAAACTACTTTCGTCTCCCTTCTTCTATACTCCCTATTGTTGTTGTTGTTGTTGATTGTATTATGTCATAGATTTTTGTGAAAAATAATCAAACCTCAACTGATCAAACTCGAATTGATACATTAAAATTCTATGGTTATCCAGTGAATACAATCAATATGAATGAATTTAAAAGGGTTAGTTCAGTATTATTATCACTGTTACTATATATATATATGTGCGTATAAATTCAATGACTGACTACTATTGAATAATGTAAATGATACATTCTTTGGACACCCTAGTAGTATACTCGATTTCAAGCTATACATTCATACATACAGGTAGAAAATAGTTAGCACTGTAATCAAGGATGCACATTTCGTCTTACTTCACAGATTCATCAATTCGATATTCCTTCATCTTAAAGTGGTTGATTTTTATACTGGTGAAAATTTCGACGTATCTTTGAAAGTTAGTCAATTAGAATTTTAAGTTTCAAAGGACTAGATTCAAACTTACACACATAATGTAGAAAATTGTAATGGAATTTTTAAAATGTCAATATCTCAGTCCTACAGCTCAGTGTTAACATTAAAGACTGTAAAGATTGTTGACGCTGATTTAGATCGTACAAAAAGCGTCAGTTACTCCAAGACTGGGGTTACGCCTTGTTGACAAGTGTTGACTAGCAAAATGCCCTCAGTTTAAGCAAACGTTTGTTCCGACCCTCTTTAACCACCGAATATAATACCACTAGTCCATTTTTCTAATCTGCATTGATCATGAATGCGCATTTCTGAGGAGTCCCCCATACCGAACGAAACGGCTGTCCAGTACTCCTAGGTTTCCGATAGTGGTATAACATTGATCAATTCCTGATCTCAATTAAAGTTACTCATTGACAAGACTCGAGTTTTGTTTATTCAATGCATTTTTGATGTAATCAAGTGGATTTTGATATACTAAATGGCCATGTGAGAGCATTTGGAAAAGGATGGCTGATTTAACCCACCGTCGATCATACCAAGACATTTGTCACATACATATGTGTTCCTTAAAGAAATATCACCCATGATTTACCTATCTAGATTGGTTTGTAAAAAAATTGTAATTGACTATTGTCATTCATTAAGGTTATAAGGGGGAAATGTCAAATTGTCTAAAGCAATATCCAACTAATTTGAGAAAGTTAATTTATTCACATGGAAAAAGCACTTGATCCTTAAATCGTACTGAATCATATATATGAACCTTTCAGGTTTGTATCACTAGCCCTGCTTCAGTTTGGACACCCGGGCACTATCACAGCCCTCACACATATTGAATGAGATTTGTGTGGCTCATATGTATTTAATGCCTCCTTGTATCAATATCTATGTGTTCAAATAAATAAATAAATAAATGGTGGTTCCAAGCTGTGGCCTTGGGTGCTGTTAGAAGTATGAGGGCGGTTATCACTTCCCGGTTGCCCACACCGTGGAAGGGTTCTTCTGGAGGTACCTGAAAAGGAAACTGGATTAGAGGCGGTCTCAGTAACCTGAGAGTGTGACCGCAGTGCCCAGGGGACAACTGCTTGAGGCCGGTCGCGCACGGCCTTTTCATGGGAGGTTTTTGACGTGTTAGCTCCGTTCTTCAAAGGGCCTTGCCGCCGGAGACGGAAATCCGTGAGGCAAGGTGAGGTGCGCATTTTGAGGGTCGACCTTTTCTAACCCCACCCCTCCTTGTGGGAAGGCAGCATCGCTGTCATGCTGGTTGTCTGAAGGAAACACCTTACTGCTGTCACACCTTTGCACAGTCAGCAGTACGACTTCGCTGAGTAAATTAAGAAATGGATTTTGTCAGTTATAGATTTACAGTCATTGAAAAACATTAAATGAATTTGTTTTTCTATAAACCGTTATGGATTACGGTTTGTTCGTATATCTATATATCCATACGCACATCACAAGTCACATTCATAAACATACTTGTTGGGACATAAATCACTATGAATCGGAGTTCAATGGGAATAATCTTTGTATAATTTTAAAAATGCCCTAATTTGGTTTAGGTTGCCTTCTATTCAATACTTCGTCAGTTTCCCATCATCCATATCGTCTGTACAGTAGTTGTCTTATGGATACAAGCACAAATATATAGCAGATTTTGATAGTTTTTACTCAAAGACGGAAGAATATAGTCAACTTGTTCGTTGTCTCTAACAGCTGCTACAATTTTTATTGATGTCATGTTTTGCTTGTTTATTTTTGGGGTGATTAAGAACAATCATACCTTAGATAATTTTGATGTGATTAGTTTCTTTGTGGTTAGTGGCTTAATCATGAAGTGGTGATAATTCGTTTAAAAATCATCAGTACAATGATCTATGAGAGTTGGTACTTTTCCAAAGACTTACATAAATAGTGGAAAGATTTCCAGACTGGTAACCAAGTCAATACGACTATTGACCTATATTGTATATGATATGATAATGTTAAATTCTATTTATATCTATGTATTTAATAAAACCTTAGGTCTCTGGGAAGAAAGGTGAAGCCCATGGTTAACCTATTACCAAAATAAAAACTATACTTCATTATCATTATTGGAAAAAAACTATCTGGGAAAATGTAAACAGTTACACGAATGTATTCCTGCTCACTTCTTTTATCTTTGTGTGTGTTTGAACATTCTAAATGCATGATTAACTCGTTATTTTCACTTTTTATTCTACCACCTTGTAACTTGAATTCTTGGTTGTTGTTTTTTTTAAAAAATATACAGAAATCTTGAAGTGGATTATAATTTCCTTTTGTTAATTTCTTACATGTCAGTCAATGAGCAACAACGTAGAACTTCGTACTTACGTACATCAGTTCGAGTTGCCACACCACATTAGCACAGAGATACAGTTATCAATTCAAATCCCATAGTGGTAGATGTAGTAAGAGTATAAGCAGTAATCGGAAACATTAGGGTTTGAAGATGTTATTTAAATGGTATAATACAGTGAAATAAATTTGGAAAGAGGAAAAAAGGGACATGAAGAATTCAGAAGATTAGAATTTGGGAGAACACAGAGAGTGGATGCACCTGCGTCATTGCAAACGATTTTGAGCCATGTCATTCAGGGTCTCTAACCATCGGTTGCTATCATCTCGTGGTCCCCAACCAGGTAGTCTACACCTACCAACATGACTCAGTTCACTTGTCAGTGACTTCATGGACTTGTGCCACGTTTTGGTTTGGCCGCTTCTAGCTTCCTTCTAATCTACTCCTACACCATAAAACATCGCAGGTCGGGACAGTCGGTGGTTGTAAATACATGACACATGTCCCAGCCATCTCAACTGACGAAGTTTCACTACTTCATAAATGGATTTGCCATCCTTACCTAGTACCCGTTTCCCAACAACTGCGTTACTTACTCGATGGTTCCAGGATATACGAGCAATGTTTCAAAGACATCTATGATCAAATACTAGTAGCTTACGAATATCCTTTACTCTTACAGGCCATGTTTCACTGCCATAAATTAGGACAGAAAGAGCTGCTGAGCAGTAAACACGTCCTTTGGTTGGTAGACTGATAGCTCTCCTGCGCCATAAATGACGTAGGTTGGTAAAAGCTAGTCGAGCCTTCTGTATCCGTGCTGAGATTTCGTCACACACCAGACCACAAGGGCTGATGAGACTTCCGAGATAAGTGAAGAGGTCGACACACTAAACTACTTCACTGCTTATCATTAACTCAGGTGCAGATGCAACCCAATCGTGAAGCGACATTTTGCTTCTCAAGGGGAAGAATCGCATCTCTTACATGTAAGAATAGATCGTATGTTAGATATTGCATTGAATTGGACACTACTATGTTAGCTGAATTCAACCCCTATCGAAGTAAGAGACAATGAAATGACTTAGACTTTGAGATAATTCCTTATGCTTCGTAAATCAATTATCCTGATAATCGTTATTTAATAAATTCAGAAGTCAACATACGATGCATCGACCACAGTTTATTTCTGTATCTTTCAGAATACGAAACTATAAGCACAACCAAAGGAATTTGATCAAGTGGATTCAGACAAAATAATTAATAAGATTAAAGTACACAGATATATGTAGGAAATCGAATGATTCATCCAGCGATATATAAACGACTAAACTATTTAACCTAGAAAAAGAGATAATATGCGTCGGTTGTCACATATTTTTTCAAGTACACATGATTATACAAAATAATAGATGAATATGTTCATTGAAGAGTTTGACAAAAAAAATTAACCGTAAACAAACTTAATTGTATGAAAGAGGGTACTAATAACTGTTATATCCGAGTGGAGATTAAATTACAGGTAACTTCCGAGGACTATTCATGGACTAATATCCTATAAATATTCTTGTTGTATAACTATTCAACAATTGCATTATGTATATTTGTATCCCTCTTATGACAAGCTTTATTTTGGCCTATAATTTATTATTGTACGATTTACGGTTCTTAAGTTATGTTCAGTTTATTAACTACTGCCTCCCACATTCACAACCACTTTTTGGGCTTATTTGTGTACAAATATTATTTCCTATTTTATGGTACGTTGCGGTCTGTCTGATTGATATATAAACCGGGTATGTCTGAAATAAACGATCTGATCTGATCTGCTCTGATTCGATTCATAGTACGGAAGCTGGTATTTGTGTTCTGGACTCAAGTGGAAGGGCTCGGAGGACATAGGACCAATAAGGACGCTAAACTGCTCATACCGTTTGAACGTCATTGGTTTGGCATAGTGCGAAGATTGTGTAAGCCGGATCCTGATTGGTTGATAAGTCACGTGATAGAAAAGTCAGACATCCAAGGTCATAACAATAACAGTAAAAACAATTCAACAATTAAAAGAAAGTATCCTATACATATTAAATAATCAATAATAGTCAGGTAGATCTGTAATTGATATTCATGTGTTCACAATTCACCAGATTAGAATTCTACTTATAATGTTTACTACTCTATGTCTATTTCATTTAATTGTAAATAGTATTACTAGACTTTAATCAATGAAAATATCTAAGGGAAAAAGTGAATTTAACAAAGAATACTTTTTTTTCTCTTTTGTTTTGATAAAATCATTTACTTAAACTGTTCATTCATAAACTATTTCTCTTCTTTATCTTGTTGGGATATTTCAGAAAAATATCCCAAGAATAATTCTGTTAAGTCTAATGTTATTCTTGAATGTGAAATGGTTTGATTTTCCTGTTAGCCAAATATTGTACAAATGTGTATTTTCTATTTTATTGGTACAATGTAGTCTGTTTAGCTGGTGTATATAAACTCAGTATGTTTGAAATACATGATTTATATTGCAGAGATTGCTGAGATTAGTATTCTGGACTTAACTGGATAGGCTAGACACGAAGTATGGTCAATATGAAATCTAGACTACTTGTACGAGTTTTAGGCATCATTAGTCCGATCGATAATTCATTGCTCTCTCTCTCTCTAATTGACGGTATCATTAGGTTATACATTAACAGGGCACACAGGTCACAAGTTATAAGAATTACTTTATGGAATGATGGCCAGATTTTGGTTTGACCGCCCCTCCCCTCCTAACTTTCTTCGCAACCATCATTCAAAGACTATAGTTTCACTTTATCAACTAGATTAGAATTATAATCAATGATCCAATTAATCTAATTAATACAACAAAAAACAACTCAATGACATTACAATGTATTCATCTTCTAATTATTTTTAACGTATAACACATTAAAATTGTATCCATGAACAAGGAGAATCAAAACAAAACAAACAAGCATAAACAACTTGGAAATACTTTGAATTGAATGACAAATAAGAAAAACAAAAACAAACAAAAGTATTTTAATAAACTATACAAACAGAAATGATGTAACTTACTGAGATGAAATGAAATCTTGAATGAATATACCATTATTCATAATAATAATAAATCTAGTTACTAACGGGATCTATTAAAAGCATAATCTTTCAATTAAACATAGAAATCAATCTCCCAACACATGCGAATGGGAATGAAATGGAGAGGTGGTGATGGTGGGGGGGGGGACAGGTGATAATGATAAAAAGTGAATGAATGAATGAATGATTATGCAAATAAATAAGTAAAATAAACAAGTACACAAGAAATTTTGTATCCTCTTTAAATACATACATAATGTGAAAGTAGGTTTTCATCATCAAAGTTCCAATGGAATTATGCATTAATGAATTGAATTCTGTAAAAAAAAATGTGAAAAATATAAAAAGAAGTAAACTATGAATAAAGAAAAAAATAACTCGTAAGATATTAGTGCTACTCTCTTGATTATAATCAGTCAGTCAGCTACAACGTAGGACCACCAGGCACATATATGCATCGGTCGAAGTTGCCATACTTCATTAACACAACAAGATGGATACCAGATTCAGGAGAAGCAGTTATTTCAATGGTGGTAATATATGAAAGAAAGATTGCATATAAGGATATAGTACAGGAAGAAAGAATTAGTTCGTAGAAAGAAAGATATGAAGTGATTCTAATCTCTTAGTTTAAGGGAAGACAGCGAGTGTTGTATACACCTACGCCTTTATGTCGATTCTGAGCCATGTCACCCAAAGTCTCCAACCCTTGGTTAAGATAGTCACGCGGACCCCAACCAAGTAGTCTGCATCTACCAACATGGCTAAGACTAGAAGTTAATGACTTCAAGGACTGGTGCCACGTTTTGGTTTGGCCGCCCTTAACCTTCTTCCAACTATCTCCAATACCGGTTAGCATTGCACGTCGTGGTAATCGGTCTTCAGGCATACGCAACACGTGACCCAAACATCTCAGTCGATAAAGATTAACAACCTCATCAACTGATTTACCATCATCATGCTCTACTACCCTGTGTTTAACCTCACTATTACTTACCCGGTGATCCCAGCAGACGCCATCAATAGTTCTAAGGCATCTGTGGTCAAATACTAGTAGCTTACGAGTGTCTTCCACTCTTAATGGCCATGTTTCGCTGTGGTAAATTAAAACGGAACGGACTGCCGCGCAGTATAATCGTCCCTCTTGATTATAGATTTATGAACTGACAAACACTCTAATTTATAAAATGTTGAACAACTGTGTAGTTCTAGTATGAAACTATTCAACAGTGAACACAAAGTATCTTGTTAGAGATAGAACAAACAGTCTTTAAGTGTTACAACAAGTGCAGAACCACTTAGCAGGTATTCTATCCGATATTACGCGACCAAATTTCAATATCGTTTACAGATAGGTAACTGCCTCACACAAAACATAGGTGAACTTCATTAAGTCACAGCTTGTCACTAAGTCCAGGTAGTGATATAATCAAGCTTGTCACTGGTTTATGTCTCTCATCCTTTACAAAATAAAGTCATCCCTTGGCCAATCACGTGAATTTTCCACTTTAATGATTCTTAACCGGCTTAATATAACAATATGTCTTTCTCAATTGAAGATTTCTAATATACTCACTGGATTGTTATATCAATTCATATAATACTATGGTCAGTTCGGATATTCATTCACAAATCACACATACAGTTCAAACTTCATAGGATCATTGTAGTTTATGCGTATAGTTTGTCAGAAATACACTTTTCTTTTCTAGAATATTTCATAATAGACAATTAATATGGCACATAGTCAATTGGATATTATTTACCATTCTAATAGGATTAGGCTAGACTAACACAGTTTATACATGTGAAATGTTTATCAACATCTGATGTTCAAGTGAAACGTGAAGAAGGCAAATAATCTGAGA